CTCCGTGTATCTCACAAGTCTACAAAAGGCCGACAACTCCGTGTATCTCACAAGTCTACAAAAGGCCGACAACTCCGTGTATATCACAAGTCTACAAAAGACCGACAACTCCCTGTATCTCACAAGTCCACTACTCTTCTCCGGCAGGCAGCCGACTGTAAAATTAACGGTTAAGAGAAAAATGACTTGACTCGGGTTTCCATGGCAACGGTGTCTACTAAATATGCCGAGAATAATCTGTGATGTTTTACACTCATCCCATCTTATCCTATTGTTAGATGCCATTTTAAAAGGAAAATGAGAAACATCGACGATATGTCTGTGTGAGGCAGACATGTGACAGGAATGTGACAGAAAGGTGGCAATATTGCCAAGAGGATGTGACAGGAATTAAGCTGTGAGAGGAATGTGAAAGAAATGTGACAAGGATGTGACAGGATGTGAAAGTGGTATAACGGGTGTAAGTTCACGCCTTACAACAGCCTTGACCTTTGTTGATGACGTACTTTTACGTGAGTGACGTGTTGGCTGGGACTTGGAACCACAGGACAAAGGTGAGACAGTACCACAAAGGTGAGACAGTACCACAAAGGTGAGACAGTACCACAAGACAAAGGTGAGACAGTACCACAAGACATAGGTGAGACAGTAAAACAAGACAAAGGTGAGACAGTACCACAAGACAAAGGTGAGACAGTACCACAAGACAAGGTGAGACAGTACCACAAGACAACGGTGAGACAGCACCACAAGACAAAGGTGAGACAGTACCACAAGACAAAGGTGAGACAGTACCACAAGACAAAAGTGAGACAGTACCACAAGACAAAGGTGAGACAGTACAACAAGACAAAGGTGAGACAGTACCACAAGACAAGACAAAGCTGAGACAGTACCACAAGACAAAGGTGAGACAGTACCACAAGACAAAGGTGAGACAGTACCACAAGACAAAGGTGAGACAGTACCACAAAGGTGAGACAGTACCACAAGACAAAGGTGAGACAGTACCACAAGACAAAGGTGAGACAGTACCACAAGACAAAGGTGAGACATTACCACAAGACAAAGGTGAGACAGTACCACAAGACAAAGGTGAGACAGTACCACAAGACAAAGGTGAGACAGTAGCACAAGACAAAGGTGAGACAGTACCACAAGACAAAGGTGAGACAGTACCACAAGACAAAAGTGAGACAGTACCACAAGACAAAGGTGAGACAGTACCACAAGACAAAGGTGAGACAGTACCACAAGACAAAGGTGAGACAGTACCACAAAGGTGAGACTGTACCACAAGACAAAGGTGAGACAGTACCACAAGACAAAGGTGAGACAGTACCACAAGACAAAGGTGAGACAGTACCACAAGACAAGACAAAGCTGAGACAGTACCACAAGACAAAGGTGAGACAGTACCACAAGACAAAGGTGAGACAGTACCACAAAGGTGAGACAGTACCACAAGACAAAGGTGAGACTGTACCACAAGACAAAGGTGAGACAGTACCATAAGACAAAGGTGAGACATTACCACAAGACAAAGGTGAGACAGTACCACAAGACCAAGGTGAGACAGTACCACAAGACAAAGGTGAGACAGTACCACAAGACAAAGGTGAGACAGTGCCACAAGACAAAGGTGAGACAGTACCACAAGACAAAAGTGAGACAGTACCACAAGACAAGGTGAGACAGTACCACAAGACAAAGGTGAGACAGTACCACAAGACAAAGGTGAGACAGTACCACAAAGGTGAGACTGTACCACAAGACAAAGGTGAGACAGTACCACAAGACAAAGGTGAGACAGTACCACAAGACAAAGGTGAGACAGTACCACAAGACAAAGGTGAGACAGTACCACAAGACAAAGGTGAGACAGTACCACAAGACAAAGGTGAGACAGTACCACAAGACAAAGGTGAGACAGTACCACAAGACAAAGGTGAGACAGTACCACAAGACAAAGGTGAGACAGTACCACAAGACAAAGGTGAGACAGTACCACAAGACAAAGGTGAGACAGTACCACAAGACAAAGGTGAGACAGTACCACAAGACAAAGGTGAGACAGTACCACAAGACAAAGGTGAGACAGTACCACAAGACAAAGGTGAGACAGTGCCTCAAGACAAAGGTGAGACAGTGCCACAAGACAAAGGTGAGACAGTACCACAAGACAAAGGTGAGACAGTACCACAAGACAAAGGTGAGACAGTACCACAAGAAAAGATGAGACAGTAACACAAGACAAAGATGAAACAGCACCACAAGAGAAATGTGAGACAGCACCACAAAGGTGAGACATAGCCACCTGCCATACTTGACTGCAGACAGGTGGTGCTTGCGTTCCTGGAATTCGTGGAATTTTCAGCTTGAGAGAATATCTTGTATTGATTGTTTAAGATTGATGGTGGGTGCTGCTAGGGAGGGGGAGGGGAGAGGTTGAAATGAGGTAGTGAGAGCAATGTGAAACGGAGGGAGGGGTGGGGGATGGTGGGGGATGGTTGGGGATGGTTGGGGAGGTAGGTAAAGGGATGGATGGTTATGTGAGTAGAGATAGAGGAAGGCGGAGTGATTCCAATAGACTAGCACGAGCTCACCATTGTTCTAGCAAGGTGTGTGGTCAGGGAGGGAGGGGGTGAGAGAGGAGGGGGGGAGAGGAGGGGAGGGGGGGGAGAGGAGGGGAGGGGGTGCTGAGATCAAAGACAAGGGGACTTAACGAGGTAATCAAAACAAGGTGTGTCTTCACAGGTAGCAGGTAAACAAAATTTAGTCAGGTCCATGAAAGGGTGTTTTACGCCCTAGTTAGGGGTAATCGGTGATGTAATTAATGCATCCACGTTAGATAAAAGAGGAATACAACATTGTGTTGGTAATTAGGTTTTTAGTGTAATTTCTGTTGTTTTCTTAGGGAGAACTAAAAAATCTGTTAGATGTATGTAGTCAGTCTTGGTTGATGGCTTAGTTAAAGGTTAAGTCATGTTTAAGATAACACGCAGTGGCGTAGCGAGGTCGGGTGTCACCCGGTGCGGCACTTAATGGTGTCACCCCCCCCCCCCCAGAGGCGTTGCGACCCTTCCCGGGGACAAACTTTTTCAACTTTTCGATTTGCACCCGCCCCCTCAAACTTTCGATTTGCACCAACCCCCCCTCAAGTTTTTGATTTGCACCCCTCACCCCCTCAAACTTTCTATTTGCACCCCCCCCCCTCAAGTTTTTCTATCTATATTTTGCTATTTTTTTTGCCTTGGTGTCACCCCCCTAAATGGTGTCACCCGGTGCGGTCCGCACCCCTCGCCCCCCCCCCCCCCTCGCTACGCCCCTGATAACACGTTAGGTCAAAGGTTAAGTCATCTGATTGTTCGCGGGTTAGATGACTACAATTTATTTATCAAGTTGCATTTGTTGGGGCACTAGTTCAAACTAAATCAAATTCAAATTGTTTCATTGAACTACACGATAATCAGATGAAAGATAAAAATATAATTTGAATAATTAATGATACTAGCTAATTATGTCAAGAGTGACCCGCAACAACGAAAGCAGTCTGATTAACTTTCTTTCAGTCACGTGTTGTCCATAATTGATGCCATACTGAGATGGAAGGGGCGGGGTGGAGTTTTGAGTGTAGATGTGTAGAGTTTGGAGTGTAGATGTGTAGAGTTTGGAGTGTAGATGTGTAGAGTTTGGAGTGTAGATGTGTAGAGTTTGGAGTGTAGATGTGTAGAGTTTGGAGTGGAGATGTGGAGAGTTTGGAGTGTAAATGTGTAGAGTTTGGAGTGTAGATGTGTAGATCAGCGTGTGGTGGGGAGGGCTAAGAAAGTGTGATGTGGGGGGGGGTAAGATAGAGCGATATCAGCGCTACAGGAGCCATATGATATTGTTATTTGTGTTATATCACATTGTTACAAAGAATTCAAGGAATTTCTAAGTAGAAAAGAAATGGTTTGCAAATAAAATGTGCAATTGTTGTTGAAGGGAGTGGGTGAGAGAGAAGATGACGTGTGACGTCATTTTAAAGGATTCCTTGACGTTTGGTAAATATTTTAGGGTATAAAAATGGTGACGTATACTTATTGAGACCCCCCCCCCCTTCCCACTAGTAAAAGGTAGCCCTTGTGTGCCTCGTACTCCGGTGGGCCCCAAGGAGAAGTGGCGTAACAGGCCCAATAGTTCTTTGATTTAAAAATAAAAGTTGCTTGTATTTATACATTTTATCAATCCCCTTCCTTCATGCTAAGGCGTAAAATTCAATTTGATGAGGAAATGGCACAATGAAATTTTAAATCTAAGGTTGCGGGCCCATTTTAAGCCAGTCCATCCATGTCTGGCACTAAGCTATACTACAGTATACCATGTTAGTTTCTTGAAGAGATATAACCATTCCAGAGCATATAAATGTGTCGGTTCTACATCCAAAGTTTGCTTATAACTCCATTGAAAATTCAACAGTCTAAACATACAACATTCAAATGTCTACGTCGACATCTAAATTGTTTTAAGACCATTTCAAATTTTAAAAACAAATATTGACAAAAAATAATGTAAATTCTCTTCTTTCTACGAAATAATTATCTTGGCGGCGATAAAAAAAATAATTAAAATAACAGCTTGGTTGTCGGGCGTGGGGTGGGGGGAGGGGGATCGGTGGGAAAGGAACGCGTGTGTCTGGCATTCTTCTGATAGAGAATTGTCTTTTTTAATTATCTAAACAAACACATTTTTATTGTTCTCTGTATAGGCAAAGCGTTCACATTTCTATTCCGTATTCAGTTTATGTTAGAGAAACTTTAATATTTTTAAGTGTCATGCGGCTAGCATTAAGTGCGCAGTTTCCTTTAACAGGCAATGTTTTCGTTTTTTGTCTAAACATTCTTAAAAAGTAATATATATATATATATATATATATATATATATATATATATATATATATATATATATATATATATATATATATATATGTAAGTATGTATCAGTATGTATATATGACCAACCTGTCTCCTGGGTTTTCCAAAATGGACTCCAGGTCAGACACTGACCCTGACTCATCCGGGTATCCTAAAGCTACCCGCCGCCGACCCCCTGGGGACAGTACTAGCTGGGGGTCGCTCTTCCGGTCACGTCTAGTGTTGTGGAGTTCTCGGAATTTGGTCAGTTCGTGCTGGTATCTAAAAATAGATGGGTGGTTTTTAAAAATACACGGGTGGTATCTACAGATAGATGGGTGGTATCTACAGATAGATTTAAGTTAGATAGAATAGAAGGGTGGTATATGAATGAAGATAAAATGGTTGTATCTTAGGATATGATGGTGGTATGTAAGGATATAATGGTGGTATCTAAAAATAGAATGGTTGGATCTACAGATAGACTGGTGTTGTATGACGACAATTTTGGTTATAAATGATACAATTGTTGTATCCACAATGTTAGTATACAACAATAGAATGGTAGAATTATCATATAAGGTAGTGGTATACATAGATGAAATTGTGGTACCTGCACGAATATTGGTGATATCTGCTATATCCACAGATAAAAAGAGATTATTCACATAAATAATGGTGCTGATTTTAATCTAATTTAAAATGTATATCTGAACAGAGTATTATTTCTAGAACTCAAATAAAGTGTGTGGGTTAGAGAAGAGGAATCCACATGTGGAGGTATTAACGGATAGTTATGTGGTATCTCTGGACAGTATGTTGGTATTTACAACAAGAAAGGCATTTAAATATTTAAGCACGCTTTCGTCAAAAATAATGCGTTACATTTATTGTATGCATCAAAAAGTTTAAAAACTATTTCATCCCTGCGACTTACGAGGGGAAACTTCAGTCTTATTTAATTACGTCTCTGGCATTTAAGTTCTTCAGGAAAATCCTGGTTACGTAAGCTTCTAATTAACCTCATTAAAATGCGTGTTAATTGTATGATTACTTAAGTAAACAAAATAAATGTATTATTTTACACCAGCAAACACGATAGACTTCATGTAGATTTTTTAAAAGAGATAATTATTTTAATGACTTTGTTTACTTTTTGCTCGTAATTTTTAAATTTAATAAAACGTAAATATTATCACGCAAACAGAAATAATTATATTTATATTGAAAAGGGGAGAAAACTAGAGCACAAGGAGAGACAACTTAATATTAGGTCTGGTTGTTATAGGGAGACAACTCAAGGTATGTTCTTGTGTCAATGTTAATGGGAGACAATTTCAGGCGAATGTTTGTTTGGTATGTGGTTATGCGGGTGAGGGGGAGGGGGGGGGGTATACAAGCTAAGTTATGATGTCTGATATTGCGCTTTGTGAGTGCGTGAGTGGGTATGTGTGGGGTAGTTGTGGTGTAGGTGTGAGGTTGGGGTAGGTGTGTGGTAGGTGTGGGGTATGTGTGAGATAGGTGTGGGGTATGTGTGGGGTAGGTTTGGGGTAGGTGTGTGGTAGGTGTGGGGTATGTGTGAGATAGGTGTGGGGTATGTGTGGGGTAGGTTTGGGGTATGTGTTGGGTAGGTGTGGAGTAAGTGTGGGGTGTGTGTGGGATACGTGTGGGGTATGTGTGGGTTAGGTTTGGGGTAGGTGTGGGGTATGTGTGGGGTATGTGTGGGGTATGTGTTAGGTAGGTGTGGAGTAAGTGTGGGGTATGTGTGGGATAAGTGTGGGGTATGTGTGGGATACGTGTGGGATACGTGTGGGGTAGGTGTGGGGTATGTGTTGGGTAGGTGTGTGGTAGGTGTGTGATAAGTGTTGGGTAGGTGTGGAGTAAGTGTGTGGTATGTGTGGGGTATGTGTGGGATATGTGTGGGGTAAGTGTGGGATATGTGTGGGGTATGTGTGGGGTATGTTCTAGTACCTGATGTTCTCTACCGCACCCATAGAGTTAGGGCGTGGACGGCGCCAGAAGTTGGCTCTTTTGACGCTGAAAGAGAAAGTTCCGGAAGCGTCGGAGCCGTTGACGGCGGTGTTGACGCTGTTGCTGCGGTTAAGTGGCGCCCGCCGCTGGTACATGTGTGACGTCGTCTCGCTGTACGGGGCGTACTGCGGGATCAAATCCGACTGGGAACAACTACGTGTGTGGTTCTGGATTGTGGAGCGGCGGAGCGTCTGTGGGGGGCTGGACGCCGGGCTGTTTGACGTCATCGACAGAGACCGGAAGTAGGTGTACATGGCCGGGCCGGACATAGCCCGCTGCAGGTTGGGGTGGAAGTCGGTGTCCTCGGGCATGTAGCACTGGACCCCGACGTCGCGTTGCCATGGATACCGCGACTCGAAGCTCTCGCCGACGATGTCGACGTCACGGAGCCGCGCGACTTTGTTGGTGTTGTCGCTGGCTGAGCGGACGAGGCCCGTCAGGGGGCCGGGGCGCCTGGCCCGAGGGGGCGACCCCAGGCTGGGCACCCGGGCCTCGCGGCGTAAGGCACGGAATGGCACTTTAGCTGTGGGCGTGGCGGTGCCGCCGTAGGAGTGCGACCTCTGGCTGCTGTAGGCGTTGGCGAGGGTCACGTGATTGTCGCCGTCGTCCACCTCCTCGATGGTGGAGGACATGAGGCTCAGGGGCAGGGAGGAGGAGGAGAAGTTCCTCCTCCTGCTCTCGGTACTCTCCATGACGTAGCCGCTCTGCCTCCCGCAGACGTCGGCCTCGGTGTGGATGTGGCTGTTCACTACGTCACACACAATCCCGGCTACAGCCGTCGGGGAATCCCCACAGCTCCTGACGTCACAGAAAGCTTGATTTTTATTGGATAAAATGGATTTCACAGAAAACTTCTCGGTGGATCTATAAATAGCATTAGGAGCATAGGTCACGTTTGTAGGTCTTTGGTCACTTTTTGTGTTCCCCATGTTGGTGTAGTCCAAGGGGAGGTAGTCACCATTGTGGGAAATATTCCCAGAAAGCACGGTGTGGTCAATGGTATCACATGATGAAAGGGTGGAGTCGTGGGGGGCGTCAGTCCCAGATGGGCGGTGATGGGCGTTTTTAATGATGTTGTTGTTGTTGTTGTTGTGAGAAGGCGGTGTGTTGGTGGGTGGTGTCCCTAGCCTCACGCTTTCTGTCGTCATGTCTAGGCATTTTCCAGGGGAGGCCAGGGGCGGAGACATTTGGTCTGAGGGGGTTGGGGGACCCGCGCACTCTTCATCCCATGATTCGAGATCCGAACCTTCATCTGAAAGAGAAAAATGAAAAACAAAAAATTAAAACATTACACTTTGACCTTTAAAATTTAACTTTCTCTTATCTCATTTAGACTATTAAGTATATCCAAACATACATCTGAAAATTTAGGAAATAATGAAATGATTCGAGAATCGAACATTCATATAAAAATGAAAGATATAAATAAATGACTTGATATTTATCAGAAATCAGAAAGTGATAGACAAAGTAAAATTATTCAAGGTCCAAACTTTTATCTAAAATTGAAACAAAAAAATGTTTAAAAAAATTTGTTCAACTTATCACACAACTTCCTCACAACTTGGTTAAGCCAAAAGATTAACAGAGGCCGAGAATTCTGTACAACCTAAACTTGCATTAGCAGTTTGCATGATTACCCCAAATTAAAGCAGGTACTGAATAGAGCTGAGTAGAACTTTGTGAATTAAATGCGTCTTAAAACATCAAAACAAACGTCATTTAAAGACCATAATTACTACAGGGACATACATTTTTTGCGACCAACTTATGCCGGGTATCTAATACAGCAGAGTAGGGCTATGAAATAGTGCAATTTCCATAAGTTTAAGCTACCACAGTGGAAGGTAATATTTTTTAAAGTCTTTCTAAACCGCATGTATTAAAAGCTTTATACTAAAGTACGGTTATCAATAATGTGAAGGGAAACAAACACGATAATCTTTGCAATGATGCGCACATCAATGTCAAAACAACTTCCGCTTTAAAGCTGACATTTATTTTCATTTCCCATCCAACTCTCCGATTGCATTTATTCCGAATAAATATTTATAGCCGAATACACCCGCACTTTAATTGGCAGACTGGCAGCTAATATCCGCCTCATAATTAATACACTCTAGTTAATTATATAAGTCGGAAAATGTAGAGACGTGTTGAGAGAAAACTCGGGCAGACCTAATTAACAATCGCAGCGTTTTTCTGTGTGTGTGTCTGTGGACCTGTGGTGTGTGTGTGTGTGTGTGTGTGGTGTATGTATGTGGTGTGTATGTGTGTGTTCGTGTGTGTTCATAAAAAAGCAACGGAATTCAAACGAGATCTAAGCCTAAAAAATTGGATTCTAGCAAACGAAATTTTAAAAAAAAAACATTTCATTTATTCCAACTTGAAAGAATGTTACACCGACTAAGTAACAAAGAAGCAGGAAAAGTAAAACACACCACACCTAACCAGAAATTTTTTTTCTCAACATAAACAAAGATGGCCTACAGTGTAACTCTTCTGCGATCGGCTGCAGGTTTTGGACAAACGCGCCTCGTCTTGTAAATAAACTATGGGGTATTCCCGTCACCTACACCGGATGCGCATATGGGCGGTGACGTCATTCATTCATTCATGGCTTCCGTGGTGTGGAAATCGGAAGTGATGTTTATGTACAATGTACACACACAAATGATTCAATACTTTGGGTTAACTTTGGAATTATCGTTATAAATAAATACAGCTGAAAAAGAATTAAAGTATAGTTTTAAGCTCATAAGGAGATTTAGATATAGTCTGTCTCAGCCAGCTTGAGTCTCTAGGGTGTCACATACAACAACACACACTGTTATACAGGTACTGTACATATAGGTGTTAAGGTGGGGGTGGGGGGGGGGTAAGTCTGTTAGTGGTGTAGGTGGGGGGGGGGGGGGGGTCCCAGGTGTTTGAGGGTGTTTTTTTAAAAAAGATGCTGAATTCTTTATGGGATGAATTAGGTGCTAAAGATGTAATAGAGCGATTTGAATCAGGTGCTAAAGATGTAATGGGATGACTTGAATCAGGTGCTAAAGATGTAATGGGATGACTTGAATCAGGTGCTAAAGATGTAATGGGATGACTTGAATCAGGTGCTAAAGATGTAATGGGATGACTTGAGTCAGGTGCTAAATGTGTAATGGGATGACTTGAATCAGGTGCTAAAGATGTAATGGGGTGACATGAATCAGGTGCTAAAGGTGTAATGGGGTGACTTGAATCAGGTGCTAAAGATGTAATGGGGTGACTTGAATCAGGTGCTAAAGATGTAATGGGATGACTTGAATCAGGTGCTAAAGATGTAATGGGATGACTTGAATCAGGTGCTAAAGATGTAATGGGATGACTTGAATCAGGTGCTAAGTAGACGCGGTGACGCCCTACAAGCGAGGTCTAAAATAACAGAAGATTCAAACCTTAGCCATCCGTGTGTGTGGTCGAGTGCACACTTCTGTTCAACGCCGGCTGTACATTGTGTATTAAATAAAACAGGAGGTTCTATACATCGCTGGGTTTGTTATCACTAGAGAGCTTCCAAGGATGTGTAGTCTATCTTTTGTTTTGGAAGGACATATGTGTTTGTATGTTTGTGTGTGAGTGTGTGCGCGTGCGTGCGTGAGGAGAGTCGTACTGAGTGTATATGCAATAGGAGGAGGTTGTGTCTAGATTCATAGAGAGATATGCCCATTAAATCTGCCCTGTAAACCTGCCTTGTAAATCTGTCCTCTAATTTTGCCTTGTAGGTCTATTCTGTACATCTGCCCTGTAAACCTGCCCTGTAAATCTGCCCTGTAAATCTGCCCTGTAGATGTGCCCCGTAGATCTGCCCTGTATATCTGCCCTGTAGATCTGACCTGTATATCTGACCTGTATATCTGCCCTGTAGATCTGCCCTGTAGATCTGCCCTGTAAGCCTGTGGTCATCTCAAACAAACACGTCACGTTTTATTTGGGTTAAACTCTCAAGTCATGACCCAACCACCACCACCCCCTCGCCCCACCCCCGGGTATCATGGCACCCAAGTCTATCAGCTGAGTGTTACATCCGCCATCACCCACGGTGTAAGCCGCGCTTTTAAAAGTTGAACCCAGCCTGCACACGTCAGCACTTAACGGTGGTGGATGGAATACAACATTTACACGCAACCATTTGTTGTATCAGGGGACGCTATCTGTGGGGTTAGGACATCAGGGGACGCTATCTGTGGGGTTAGGACATCAGGGGACGCTATCTGTGAGAACATCAGGGGACGCTATCTGTGGGGTTAGGACATCAGGGGACGCTATCTGTGAGAACATCAGGGGACGCTATCTGTGGGGTTAGGACATCAGGGGACGCTATCTGTGGGGTTAGGACATCAGGGGACGCTATCTGTGGGGGTTAGGACATCATGGGACGCTATCTGTGGAGGGGGGGGTAGGACATCAGGGGACGCTATCTGTGGGGGTTAGGACATCAGGGGACGCTATCTGTGGGGGTTAGGACATCAGGGGACGCTATCTGTGGGGGGGGGGGGTTAGGACATCAGGGGACGCTATCTGTGGGGGGGGTTAGGACATCAGGGGACGCTATATGTGGGGGTTAGGACATCAGGGGACGCTATCTGTGGGGGTTAGGACATCAGGGGACGCTATCTGCGAGAATATCAGGGGACGCTATCTGTGGGGGTTAGGACATCAGGGGACGCTATCTGTGGGGGTTAGGACATCAGGGGACGCTATCTGTAGGGGTTAGGACATCAGGGGACGCTATCTGTGGGGGTTAGGACATCAGGGCACGCTATCTGTGGGGGTTAGGACATCAGGGGACGCTATCTGTGAGAACATCAGGGGACGCTATCTATGGGGGTTAGAACATCAGGGTACGCTATCTGTGGGGGTTAGGACATCAGGGGACGCTATCTGTGGGGTTAGGACATCAGGGGACGCTATCTGTGGGGGGGGTTAGGACATCAGGGGACGCTATATGTGGGGGTTAGGACATCAGGGGACGTTATCTGTGGGGGTTAGGACATCAGGGGACGCTATCTGTGGGGGTTAGGACATCAGGAGACGTTATCTGTGGGGTTAGGACATCAGGGGACGCTATCTGTGGGGGTTAGGACATCAGGGGACGCTATCTGTGGGGGGGGGGGGTTAGGACATCAGGGGACGCTATCTGTGAGAACATCAGGGGACGCTATCTATGGGGGTTAGGACATCAGGGGACGTTATCTGTGGGGTTAGGACATCAGGGGACGCTATCTGTGGGGGTTAGGACATCAGGGGACGCTATCTGTGGGGGGGGGGGGGGGTTAGGACATCAGGGGACGCTATCTGTGGGGGGGGGGGTTAGGACATCAGGGGACGCTATATGTGGGGGTTAGGACATCAGGGGACGCTATCTGTGGGGGTTAGGACATCAGGGGACGCTATCTGCGAGAATATCAGGGGACGCAATCTGTGGGGGTTAGGACATCAGGGGACGCTATCTGTGGGGGTTAGGACATCAGGGGACGCTATCTGTAGGGGTTAGGACATCAGGGGACGCTGTCTGTGGGGGTTAGGACATCAGGGCACGCTATCTGTGGGGGTTAGGACATCAGGGGACGCTATCTGTGAGAACATCAGGGGACGCTATCTATGGGGGTTAGAACATCAGGGTACGCTATCTGTGGGGGTTAGGACATCAGGGGACGCTATCTGTGGGGTTAGGACATCAGGGGACGCTATCTGTGGGGGGGGGGGTTAGGACATCAGGGGACGCTATATGTGGGGGTTAGGACATCAGGGGACGTTATCTGTGGGGGTTAGGACATCAGGGGACGCTATCTGTGGGGGTTAGGACATCAGGAGACGTTATCTGTGGGGTTAGGACATCAGGGGACGCTATCTGTGGGGGTTAGGACATCAGGGGACGCTATCTGTGGGGGGGGGGGGGGTTAGGACATCAGGGGACGCTATCTGTGAGAACATCAGGGGACGCTATCTATGGGGGTTAGGACATCAGGGGACGTTATCTGTGGGGTTAGGACATCAGGGGACGCTATCTGTGGGGGTTAGGACATCAGGGGACGCTATCTGTGGGGGGGGGGGGGGGGGTTAGGACATCAGGGGACGCTATCTGTGGGGGGGGGGGGGGTTAGGACATCAGGGGACGCTATATGTGGGGGTTAGGACATCAGGGGACGCTATCTGTGGGGGTTAGGACATCAGGGGACGCTATCTGCGAGAATATCAGGGGACGCAATCTGT